GGCCAAAGCTTAACTGCTCTGCAGACTCCTCTGGGCAACGTCTGGAGACACTGAGGTACCAGCTGCCCAATATACATCCAGAAACGACAGGAAGAGGTAGAAATTCAAGGACAGGTTAAAATCAAACACACTTGTTGAATTACACAGGTGCGTGCACTTATCAATTCAGCTAACAGGCACTTAAGATTTGTTTTACTGCGTGTGGATTTGACTGTGAAGAAAAAGACCATTAAACCAGTATTAAATTCTAGTCAATGGGGAGTGGCGAGGCATCCTGAGCGGAGACTGTTTGCAGCTGACAACAGGCACACACTGACTTTAGCATCTGCCTACCTTGAGTATGTCTGCAATGTACCATGACAATAAGTTGAAAAAACATGAGCTAACATGAGCAGCTGTCTTCTGATCAATTAGACCAGCGAAGATCAAACACGAAATGGCTCATGAGCTGTGGGGTCCTCACTGTGGCTGGCGGGTTGGCCTCTGGGGGGATGTGTTCCCTGTGGGTCCAGCAAGTCTCCCCTGCACAGCCCACTGCACACCTGGGCTACCTGTCCCACAGAGGGGACTTCAAATACAGCAAGTGATGTCCCGTGCGAGACCACTCGCCCAGAGAGCTCCTTGCTAGCCCACAAGGACCAGGGAGGGTCCCTCCAGGGAGGGGCCATGAGCCGGAAGGATGGGAGGAGACTTGTCACTACACGATGGTCTGTGCCATTGACTCTTAGGCCACGTGCACTTATGGCCCTGTCCAGAAAGCAATCATTTAAGAGACAGCCAAAACCTGTATGCAGAGGCCCAGCTCTTCGTGAACACACAATGTGGCCCCTGCCCCCTAGGCCAGCCCCTCCTCCACGCCCTCCCCACCCCCCTGCGGAGCACTGGCCTTGGTGCTGAAGGACCTTCCGGCCAGGCCATTGTGGGCGGGCATGGCGCTGGGCACTCACGGTGATGACGTCCAGGATGCTGAGGAGACTGTGGACGCTGTCTCCGGCCAGAACCTCCTTGACCACCACCTCGGTGCCATCCTGTGCTTGGGAAGCAGAGCAGAGTCGTCCACTGGTGGGAGGCCCGACCCAGGCCAGCCGGGCAAGCCAACCTCCACCACTGCTGCCAGGAGTGGGGCTCAGGCATGAGGAGCTCGAAAACACAGGTCAGGTCATGATTGAACAGGAGGGACAAAGAAACCCAAGCAGCCCGGCACAGACGCTCAGCCCACAGCGTGTCCTCCCTGGGAGGGCGCAGGCTGCATGCCCCAGAGCTGGAGCTCTCCCCTGTCTAGCCATAGCACCCAACACTCCACACAGACTAGCTGGGGGCGGCCTAATCCCAGTCCGTCCCCGTCAGGCCTGAGCATGGATGGTAAACAGATCCTGACCCTGATGGGAGGCCCCCACTGATCCGCTGGGGTTTCCAAAGGGACTTTATGGTAGCAAAGGAAGTGAGATTGGGGACGGCTGGTAGCCCTGGGAACCATCAGCCTCCTCTCCTCACCCAGGCAGTGTTGAGGGGCCCTGCAAAGACCAAATCCCAGCTGCTGAAGGGGCTGCTCCTGGGTACAGGGACCCCATTGGGACCAGGCGAGGAAGGAAGAGGGAGAGGCTGTGCAGGCATGGAGGTGGCATGCTGGCTGCCATTCACAGTAATGCCTTGGGGTCAGGGTCTCACTTACCCCTGAACCCCCTTGCCTGCTGGGCGCTCTCCCCCGTGCTGCAGACAAGGACCCCGAGCCTCAGGGAGCAAAGCACCTGAGCCGCCAGCTCACCTCCGAACACGCTCCTATGGAGCAAGACACACTCAAGCAGGGGCTGGGCCCGAGCACCGGGGGGCCAGAGCGGCGGTGCACACACAGGGTGCGAGCCCCAGGCTGAGCGAGGGTGGGCACTCAAGTCCCCTTCTGTCACCCCAGGACTGCCCTGAGCTGGCGTGCTGTGGATCATCACACTC